GTATGCTTTTCAGCTAAGCTATGCTTCATTGGTAGGATTAGGAGAGTATTCTCCTTAATCTTGGCCTTTCAAAGGCACAGTATAAGGGTGTGTTTTGTGATAACACAATATAGCAACTCCTTGCTAAAGGAGGCACTAATATGCCTCCTTCAATTATTGACTCCACAATAGCATGGTTTATTGAGAAGAGGTACATGTATGTATTTTTTAGCACCTAGTACCATTTTATTGTTTTGTGTAGGGACTTATATAGAAATTGCATGGTTGTACAACATTTAAGAGGACTATTTCACACTGCTGAAACACTATATTGTAAGTTCTTCAGTTTTTGCATCAAGAAGGGCCATGCTTCAGCCATACAGACTTGCTCACATGCCATCTTGCATTTTGGTAAGCAATGGATTACCTATGAATTGGTGTTCCTTCACTTGTCCTTCCAGATTATACTAAACAATGAATTCAATTGTTTCCAATTCACTTTTAATACTAATCTCCGCACACCAAATTACAAGGTGGTCTATGCATACGAGATTGGAGGAGCTTTGGTTTGGGAGGATGTCACAATAGATGTAGGTAGGCCACATGCAAAAGCCATTAGGGAGGTTATTCACTAGATTCTAAGATCGGTAAGTATAATTTTTACTTAGCTCACTAGAGTAACTTTGTGTAGTTTGTGCTTAGAGAAGGAGCTATGTATTAGCATCTCAGGATGCCAATGCATTCTAGGACATTGCAACAAGAAGAGCAAGACATGGTAAGTTGAGTTTAAAGCACAAGTTTTATATGGTTCTAATTTCTATATGTATAAGCTTTCTTCCTATTCCAAGTGTTCAAATGTAATGCAAAAATATCTTACGGGTGTACAATTGCAACATTAGCAATTGCAACCTGAGAAATTCCACACAAAAATGACTGACAACTTGCCCAAGGAGGACTATATAAGATGGACCTCAAGACATATGCGTTGCATATATGGAATGCACTCAACCAATTGTAAAGTGCATGAGACTTAAATGAGGAGGGTGATCGATGCAAGTCTATGGATTCTATCCTAGAGAACCCAGCAATTACCAACTACAATGTAGTGCTTGAGTCTAAACTCACCAAACTTGGTGAAGGTTATGAGTAGGCTATGGTGATCTAGCATTACCTATTCATGGAGGCAAATGTAGTGGGGGATTTACTCCAAGATGGCTTCAATGCATATAGAAGCTTGTTAGAGGCCTCACAAAAGTCTAGTGTTGCTAGGTGGGCTTTCACTCATTAGGATATATGCTTTGTTAAAGGTCTTCCGCATAAGGACAATCATTCCTCCCAAAAAATTCATCAACTGTTTGGTCTTTGATTGGGACTTTAGAGAGAACTTTTGCAGCTGGATTGTGGACATCATCTAAGGTAATTATTTACTTGCACAAATAACTAAAACTCTTGTATATTTGAGCATTTTATAGATATGAGCTTGAAAGAGTTATCCAAGTTCCATCACTTTGCAGTTGATTCACTAGAGTTTCAACTGGAAGAGCCTATTTAGATCTAAGTTGAGAGACAAGGTACATTGTGTGCTTGATTTCTTAGTTCTCCATATGCACACAAGAAGTTTTCTTCCCTTTAATGTACTTGTTAATGGAGTGGATCAAACACAAGATCCATTGGGCACTTCAAAATCTTGAGAGCTTGTATAGATTGGGCTGAGGTTGTAGAAGTATCATAATCCAAACACTTTCATGATAAAAATAGATAATTGTATAGTTCCTTAACACTTTGAAAGAGACTCTTTCCAATTCAACTTAGTTCATTAGCAAAACTAAAGATAAGAATATTCAAAATATTCCACAAATGCATATTACAGGCACTTGTGGCCCTTGGTACTCTTCTGACTTATGTAATCACTATAGCTTCTAAAGCAGCTCCCAATTTAGGATTTGGGTTAAATTATCAAGCTTGGGTGCTACATGATCCCCATCCTCACTTGGGGAACTCTCAACCTATTTCATGGTATAACCAAAATCACTCTTTAGGCATCATTGCTTGCATCTCAAGCAATAATATATCCTTTGTTGTTGCCTTCTTTAGTAAGACCTTTTCCCTCAGCCATTGCCACACATTAAAAGTAGTATTGGATTGCCTTATCGAAGGATTGCCAAGCCTTGAGAGGAGGAGACATCATATAGAATCTTTGCTTTTGTGCCCTATTGGATCCATTGTTGTGCTTTAAAGAAGTTATAGATTCCTCTTCAATTTGCCATGCCATGAGGAAACCCAAAAACCTCAAACATTGTAACAGGGTTAAAGTAAATAGGAAATTGTCACAAATCTACTCTTACCAAAGTAAATATAATTTTCCAATCCTTGAAAACTTTAATTCTTCGGTGCTTGAAACCCTTTTTACAAATTTCAAAATATGAAATAGTTAAGTTTTGAAAATGTCTATTATTATTGCTCTTCTCACTTGAATGTTACTATATGCAATTGTAACTTCCAAATTCTCAAATCTCCTTTAGCATGTTGCTCTTGAGAAAACTCCAAGTCCAAACATTAACACTACACACCCTTGTGTACTACACATTCCAAGTATGAGCCCCACCAATTCATGGAATTGGTTGGATAAGGTTCAACTTACTTTCGAGTCATATGCAAATCTTCTAAGCATCATAATGCGAAATTAAAGCATTGAGAGAGATAGATTGCAAATCAATGGCAACAAAAGATAAACTCAATAGGATGCATTAGAGACATGACTCCAAATGGTATATATCCACATCTTTGCAATGGAGCTAAATAGAATTTACCTATCCTTATTGTGAACACTATGTTAAAAGAAGGTGTGCCAGAAATGATAATTCAGTTCTTTCACCATGAACAACAAGAGCAAGAGGTGAGAACATAGATAAATTAGTATGGTATGCAATTTGGTCAATTGTACATTTAGTTTGCAACATTAACAATTTGCTTGAATGCATGGGATGAATGGGTCTATGGGGCCATGAATGGCTCCATTCTGCACATAGCATGGGTCATCACTATGGACATGAAGCCCCATAAGGAATGGATATTCATGAAATATCCTATACCTGTGTTTTTTCCACACTCATGGACCAATAGTAGCCAGACATGTTTTGTGAGTGAAATAAACCACTGTATTTCTACCCTTTTACGAATTGCACACCATAATTTTCCTTTTGGAAACTAGTGGGAGAAAAAAACAACCAACAGCACAGCAAAAATCCATCACTCCACCATGTTATTGTCATTCATTGACATTGACCATTTGACATAACCATTTTCATGTGACATAATGCCACCCACAGAATCCATTAACATTCACATCTGCAAGATGGCCATCTCCTATAATAAATTCTACCTAATGTTCTATTCCCTTGCCACATTAGTGAGGTTAGTCTTTCCTAATTCATATGTAAAGTACCTGCTGGGTGGATTTTTGCAGGTAAAATGTCATTAGGTTTGTGGAGGATGTTGCCCAATTGAGCGCAGATTACACCCATGTGAGTCAGGAATTTTCCATGCAATTGATGGTTATTATTAAAGTGACTACTCCAAAGACAAATCATCCAGACTCCTGGTAACACAATTCAATACAATCCAATGCATTGTTAAATTTAATACAAAACATTCACAATATTCGGGCCGTGTGATCTAATTTCTGCGTTGGTGTTCTTCCTAGCAACCCGCATGCCCTGGAGGAGGTGATTGGTGGGGTGGCAGGTTTTGCAGAGGAGCTGCAACAGCTTCTCCTCGTCCTCGCTGAGAAGTGTGGTGGAGAGCTCGATGAGGTGCTTCCAGCAAATGTTGGACTCGGCAACCTCCACTTCCTCGTATGAACACGAGGCGCAGGTCCCTCATCTGTAGCAGGATTCCTCCCAACATGAGCTCAAGGAAGCGCGACAAGAACCCGAGGAGTAAGGCCAGGCTGCTGCTGCTACTGCTCGCCTTTCTCTTGAGCGCATCTAGGTACTGACTATTCATTGTCAGTTGGATCGCCAGCATCTGGAATCCCCTCATCGAGCAGCTCATGAACAGGTTGTTGAAGATGAAGAAGTCATTGCCACTGCTCCTCTCCAACAGCAGGCCACGGCACTGGCTGCCTCAGCCTGAGGCTTAGCCTCATCCATCAGGCTTGAGTAGGCTTTCTTCAGGCGGTGACTACTCCTGCTCCAGCGGCTGGGCTTCCATGCATCCAGCAGCTTGTAGAAACTCAGCAGCTGCTGCTTCTCCTGCTTAGCTTGCTGCAAGCTGCGGCGTGGCTTGTGATCATCGACTGAGGGGAGCGGCTTCTCCACTGGCCTTTCAGTCAGCCTGCTCAGAAGAACCCTGTGCTTCGAAGCTAAGTAATCGACTGTTACCCCTAAACGCAGCAGCGTGCCCAAGATTTCCTGCTTCGACATCCCTTGCCATGAACTAAACGCCAAACATGTGAGGCACTCATCCAGCCGCCCAGGATCTGGCGCCTTGACCGACATGCCTTTGAGTATGTTGAGCGATTGTACAGCAATCTCCGCTGCTCGTTCATGACTATCCACTGGTCGTTGCCCTAAAAGCCTCATTTCGGAACGATAACCTAACCTTCGTTCCTCCTCTCTAAATTCCTGCCCTTTTCTCCGATGCTTTTAGATTCGGGACCTCAAGACAATCAGATCCGTTTCAAGATGAAACACTCCTCTGGATGAATCTGCTCAGTGCATATGCCCGCAATGGGCATCTTGAAGATGCAAAACGAGCCTATGACGCTCCACAGTAACCAAAACTCATGACAGGTACTTCTTATAGTTTCTCACTGAGCTAAGCAACTCGTTCGCGAACGGTCTTGTTTCGTAGACATTGGAGAGCACTATATAACTCTGTGCGTGCTCGGGGTTGATATCGGATACCTGGTCACTGGCCTCCTTTGTTCGAGTTCTACAAGCTCCCAGCAGCGTCATCCACACCGATGCTGCAGCTTGAAACGGCATCTTGCAAATGAATCCTTCCGTCCGAGGAGATTCGCCATGAAAGAGCAGTGGTCGCCAACTTGGTAGCCGTGGATCATCGGGACGAAGAACTCCACGGCCTTGGCGGTCATGCCGCCGTGGCTGCAAGCGCTTTCACATCAGCGACGCCGTGCCACCTGATGAGTACCGCCACCTCGGGCAGGCACGGCTGCGCGGCAGAGGCGGTGGCAATATTCCACCGGATGCTGGAGCTGCTGTGCGTCGCTCTCGTGGACGCAACTGTGGATGTTTCAAGCTCGAGCAGGCTCTCAGCAGCAAGATATGGAAAAATATATCTGGTGCGTCAAAAACATTTAAAAGTTTCGTGCAAATTGTAACTTTTCGGAGTTCTTGCAGTCTTTATCTGGTGTCGAAGCGAGCTTGAGGAATACAGCGGACGTTTTGGATAACACGGCCCTTGAGAGTGCTCTGAATGCTCAATTTCTTTTCCAAATCGGTGTTCTTACGGCAGTACCTATGATTATGGGGCTTGTATTAGAACAGGGGGTGCTTAAGGTAATGCTCTTTAAAACAGCTTCGATGCTCATCTCTACGTGATCGCAGGCAATCATCAGTTTTATCACAATGCAATTGCAACTGTGCTCCGTGTTCTTTACGTTTTCTCTCGGAACGAAAAGTCATTATTTTGGTAGAACAATTCTGCATGGCGGTGCCAAGGTTAATGTTTCCGTTGACGTTTATCGTCTCTAAAAGTCCTTTTGTTTTTGTTAAGTATCGGGCTACCGGAAGAGGTTTCGTGGTTCGGCACATTCCATTCGCTGAAAACTATCGGCTTTATTCTCGCAGTCATTTTGTAAAAGGGTACGTTGATTATTTTATCGTGGAAAACGCACTCATTCTTGCTTTGACCAGCCTGGAAGTCGTTATGCTTTTGATTGTATACATGGCTTATGGTGTTTCAAGTGGAACCAGCTACTTTCTCTTGTCGTTTAGCAGTTGGTTTCTGGCCATTTCGTGGATGTATGCTCCCTACTTGTTCAATCCGTCCGGCTTCGAATGGCAAAAGTAAGCACAACTGTAATTTTTCTATGGTTGATTACTCCACTGTCTTCGTCTTAACTTCAGAACTGTGGACGACTTCGATGACTGGACGAACTGGCTTTTGTATAAAGGTGGAGTCGGAGTGAAAGGAGAAGAGAGCTGGGAAGCATGGTGGGATGAAGAGCAAGTAAGAAACTGTTTAAGCCGCTTTTCCGCAAATCTAACCATTCATGTGTACCATACCAGGAGCACATTCGCACGTTCAGATCCAGGATCTTGGAAACAATCCTCAGCTTGCGTTTCTTCATTTTCCAGTACGGTGTCGTCTATAAGCTCCATGTTACCGGAACTAGCACGTCCTTGACGGTAAGCTTACACTATCTTTTTGTATCATATTACCGTCTGTTCCTCTTGTTCCAGGCTTATGGCGTCTCTTGGGTGGTATTTGCGGCATTCATACTCTTGTTCAAGGTGAGGTTCTTCCAGCTTCTTGACAGTGTATTGACGATGAACTCTTCCATTCATTGCTTCTCCAGATTTTCAGCTTGAGCCAGAAGACAGCAACAAACATCCAGTTGTTTCTCCGGCTAATGCAAGGCGTGATTTTCATCCTTCTCCTCGGCGGCTTAATCGCCGCTATCATCGCGTCGACGCTTACAGTGGGAGACATCTTTGCTTCCGCCTTGGCCCTCCTTCCAACCGGATGGGGAATCCTCTCGGTAAAGAAAGTCTTAGTTCTTTCCACCATCATACCTGTGTGAGTTCTTCCAGATTGCTATTGCCTGGAGACCGGTCATCAAGTTCTTGGGCCTGTGGAAATCGATGCGTTCTTTGGCTCGTCTCTACGACGCTGGGATGGGAACCGTGATCTTCGTCCCTGTCGCCATTCTCTCGTGGTTCCCGTTCGTGTCTACCTTCCAGAGCCGGCTCCTCTTCAACCAAGCTTTCAGTCGGGGCCTGGAAATCTCTTTGATCCTTGCCGGCAATCGCCCCAACACATCGACGTAGAGCGCTGCCATTCTTTTCTTTTGTTTCTGGGTTTTGTAACAACAGATAATCGCGATAGGAAAATTTAAATTCAAAACAACGAATATGCCAAATCGAATATGCCGCAGTAAGGTATATTCTAGAATAAGCAAGGAATTTCAGTGGCGCACATTGCTTGCCACGTGGACTAAGCTATGGCGCTCTTTTATTCTTTATTTCCTCCCGCTTCTTCATCCTCCGAGCGGCGATGGCGGCCGGGGCAGCGCTGTGGAGCGGCGGCGCCATCCTCAATCACGGTGGCGCCACTGGGATTCCTGGTAAGATCGCCAGTGGCAGCAGCATTTGTGGCATTTGCCTCTTCAGCCACGGCGGTGGCAGCACCATAGCCAGCTCCAGGAATTTCGAGAGGAAGCTCACCTTCCCGCAGAGAATCGGCAACACGGGATCGATCCTGGCAGCTGCCAATAGTGCCGATTCATCTAGCATTGGGACGGTCACCACCGGGGAATCCAAGGATTCTAGCGCTAGTACAAGTAGCAGTAGTGGTAGCAAACCCGACGAATTCTATGAGGTAGAGATTGAGAAGCCGTATGGGATCAAATTCTACAAAGGGACCGATGGTGGAACATACATCGATGCTCTTGCTCCTGGCGGGAGTGCAGCGAAAACAAAGATGTTCCAGCCAGGGGACAAAGTTCTTGCGACAAGGTAATGCCATCGTTTTGGTTCTGTTTTTACCATCTTTTTCTTTGTAATGCTAGTGCTGTCTTTGGGAATGAGATCTGGCCAGCGGCAGAGTATGGACGCACAATGTACACTGTTCGTCAAAGAATTGGACCTCTTCTCATGAAGATGCAAAAAAAATACGGTTGGTCATGACTTGTTTTTTCTCATCTGTATCTTACCGAGATTTTTTCATCTCGAAAGGAGAAAGAGAAGATCAGGCTGTATCGTCTGAGAAACTCGCAGCGCAAAGAAACGCGAATGTCATCAGTGAGCAGCTTCGTGAAATCCAGGTGAGATTTCTTAGTTTTGCCCATCATCGGAATCTAGAAACTTAACAACAAATTCCAGATCCAAAACTACAAGCGGAAAATGCAGCTCAAGAAGCAAAGAGAAGAGGACCTTCGGGAGGGCCTTCAACTCTACAAGTACGTACGACCGATTTGAATCACGACGTTGTTAACTTGAATATTTCTATCCAGAAAATCAGCCTATCAAGAAGCACTGTCAAAATTCGAGTCTGTACTTGGATCCAAGCCCGAGGGGCTTGAGGAAGCAATCGCCAGCTACAATGTAGCGTGCTGCTATGCAAAACTTGACCAGGTGACCATCAGATAAATGTTTTCGTTGCTCTCATTGATCTCTAATAGTGGTCTGTTTCTCTGTGGCAAGGTTGAAGCAGGACTTTCAGCTCTGGGGGAGGCTCTGGAGGCTGGTTTTGAGGATTATAAGGTGAGAAACGAAAAATCAGGTAGTTTTCTGACACAGAGAAATGTCCTGCAGAAAATAAGAACTGATGAAGATCTGGCAAGCTTGAGAGCATCACCGGAATTTAAAGCGTTGATTGACAAGTATGACGAGCCTATATTCAATGAGAATGCCGTCAAAGCTATCAAAGGTCTCTTTGGCTTCTTTGGCAAAACATAAGCATACCAAAGTAAATCATTCTTATTGACTCTTATTCATATATGTTTGCCATCAATAAATAATTAACTATTTATCATTTATCTTTCACTGGTATGCTGAAATAACATTATACTTTATTTGGCTTGATTTTGTGTGTTGATTTTGGCATTGGGAGGCTAAAAGCTTTAAAATTGTTTCAATGTCGTTCTATGTTTCTATTTCTTTGTTCTTTGGGCTGAATGTTTAAGGAGTTGTTTTGTGCTCTAATTCATTCGCTCCTTAAGTGTAAGTTTTAGAATTTAGCTCTATTCCTTCATTCAGTGGCTTAAAGTTTTAAAATTTAAATTTCGTTCCACTGTCTTTAGACATGTTCCATTATCTTTAGACATATAGTATATAACATGTGGCACATAAAGAGTTTAAGTTTTATTTTGTGGTTATTCTATGGTAATGATAAATCAGCATAGGATAAAGAGTGAAAATTACATATGTTACACCTAATACTCCACCTAAGAAATACAAGTTATCAATTTAGAAAATACCAACATTGATAAATATGATCAACTTCATTAGATGCCTAATAGTGGATATCAAGGCCACAACCACATCCATTAGAACCTCCATTAGAACAAAACCATCTCCCATGTGAAATGGAGTTAAAAGACATATATCGAAAAGTAGAAGAGGCAACATCTCATATATTATCAAAAGTGGCTAAAATAAGTGCATACACAAGTTTTACAAAATTTTGACAAAATATTCACCATAACATTCCTAATTTGATCCATTCTGACATATTTGGCTTTGCATGAAACAAAAAGCTTCAAAATCAAGCACCAAATTGCATCACTAAGTTAAAATGGCTTTTAATTAAAATAATGTAATTATTAAAAGGCATCAACACAATCATTGATATGTCTAAATATGCATTTAAAAATATCTGGAAGAATATTCCAATCTGCATAAGTGATTGCATTTAAACTATTGTACCATTACAATGTTGTCCCTTAAAAATACATGGGAAACTCACATAAACACCAACATCATCTAAAAAATGATATGTGATAATCACTGTAAATTGATTGAACTACTGATACACATTATCTTTAGAATTCTTATAGAAGAACTCCAACTAGACACAAAGATTGGCAATAAATTATATCATATGTCATGAATGGTACTATCATTTGAGTTTGATTGTTTAATTACAACCACATAGCATCGAATAATTACACTAATTGTTACTCCAAAGTTAAAAAAGGAAGAAATTGTAACTCTACTATAAAGATGAATGAAAAGGAAGAAGTAAAAGAGAAAAAATTTAAAAAATTATAAGGAAAAAGAGATTTAAACAATGCAAAATTTAAATCTAAACCAAAATCCCAAATCTAAGCACTCCTCAAGGATAATCAAAATTACCCATCACCTCTATAATATGAATGCATGGAATATGGAAATTAAATATAGAAATAAGTATATCAATAAACCCAAAAACCTAGTTTGAAACTAATTTAATATTAATATATAGCATCATAGCCATACACTTAGGACCTCACAATTTTAATTTATTACATAAGAGTATTCTTAGCATTTTTTAAGATCAATCAATTAAGCAATAATATATATTCTAATAGAATATTCTTTACTAAGAGGCAGAAGCTATGTCAGCCTTCCAGCTCTATATTTGATTCATTTCTACGTAGCTTTATTTTACAAGAACCAGGATAGATCACACAGCTCACACTGCAGGTGCTCATCGGGAGAAAACACTTCCTGCATCTACAAGATGGCCATCTCCTATAATAAATTCTACCCAATGTTTTCTATTCCCTATTCCCTTGCCACACTAGTGAGGTTAGTCTTTCCTAATTCATATGTAAAGTACCTGCTGGGTGGATTTTTGCAGGTAAAATGTCATTAGGTTTGTGGAGGATGTTGCCCAATTCCGTATGTTCTTCCATACAAAGAACTAGAGCGCAGATTACACCCATGTGAGTCAGGAATTTTCCATGCAATTGATGGTTATTATTAAAGTGACTACTCCAAAGACAAATCATCCAGACTCCTGGTAACACAATTCAATATAATCCAATGTATTGTTAAATTTAATACAAAACATTCACAATATTCGGGCCGTGTGATCTAATTTCCGCGTTGGTGTTCTTCCTAGCAACCCGCATGCCGTGGAGGAGGTGATTGGTGGGGCGGCAGGTTTTGCAGAGGAGCTGCAACAGCTTCTCCTCGTCCTCGCTGAGAAGCGTGGTGGAGAGCTCGATGAGGTGCTTCCAGCAAATGTTGGACTCGGCAACCTCCACTTCCTCCAGCAACACGGCGCACCAGTGTATGAACACGAGGCGCAGGTCCCTCATCCGTAACAGGATTCCTCCCAACATGAGCTCAAGGAAGCGCGACAAGAACTCGAGGAGTAAGGCCAGGCTGCTGCTGCTACTGCTCGCCTTTCTCTTGAGCGCATGTAGGTACTGACTATTCATTGTCAGTTGGATCGCCAGCATCTGGAATCCCCTCATCGAGCAGCTCATGAACAGGTTGTTGAAGATGAAGAAGTCATTGCCACTGCTCCTCTCCAACAGCAGGCCACGGCACTTCTTCCGCATGGCTGCCTCAGCCTGAGGCTTAGCCTCATCCATCAGGCTTGAGTAGGCTTTCTTCAGGCGGTGACTACTCCTGCTCCAGCGGCTGGGCTTCCATGCATCCAGCAGCTTGTAGAAACTCAGCAGCTGCTGCTTCTCCTGCTTAGCTTGCTGCAAGCTGCGGCGTCGCTTGTGATCATCGACTGAGGGGAGCGGCTTCTCCACTGGCCTTTCAGTCAGCCTGCTCAGAAGAACCCTGTGCTTCGAAGCTAAGTAATCGACTGTTACCCCTAAACGCAGCAGCGTGCCCAAGATTTCCTGCTTCGACATCCCTTGCCATGAACTAAACGCCAAACATGTGAGGCACTCATCCAGCCGCCCAGGATCTGGCGCCTTGACCGACATGCCTTTGAGTATGTTGAGCGATTGTACAGCAATCTCCGCTGCTCGTTCATGACTATCCACTGGTCGTTGCCCCAAAAGCCTCATTTCGGAACGATAACCTAACCTTCGTTCCTCCTCTTTAAATTCCTGCCCTTTTCTCCGATGCAATTGTATGGCAGATTCGGGACCTCAAGATGAAACACTCCTCTGGATGAATCTGCTCAGTGCATACGCCCGCAATGGGCAAACGAGCCTATGACGCTCCACAGTAATCAAAACTCATGACAGGTACTTCTTATAGTTTCTCACTGAGCTAAGCAACTCCTTCGTTCTTGTTTAGTTCTCTGCGTAGACATTGGAGAAGCACTATATAACTCTGTGCGTGCTCGGGGTTGATATCGGATACCTGATCACTGGCCTCCTTCGTTCGAGTTCTACAAGCTCCCAGCAGCGTCATCCACACCGACGCTGCAGCTTGAAACGGCATCTTGCGAATGAATCCTTCCGTCCGAGGAGATTCGCCATGCAAGAGCAGTGGTCGCCAATTTGGTAGTTGTGGATCATCGAGACGAAGAACTCCACGGCCTTGGCGGTCATGCCGCCGTGGCTGCAAGCCCTTCCACATCAGCGACGCCGTGCCACCCTGATGAGTACTGCCACCTCGGCAGGCACGGGTCGCGGGTGAGTAGCACGCTGTGCGTCGCTCTCGTGGACGCAACTGTGGATGCTTCTCGCGGGATCAAGCTCGAGCATGGTGAAGGTCTTGGCGTCGGTGCGGTGGCCTGGTTAAACTGCTGGATCCTTCTTCAAAGACTGCACGGAACTTTGTGGGAAGCAGTGCGATGGACATTCTCATTGCGATCGCTGAAGCCAGTGAACAGGAAGTAGAGGATCGTATGCTCTCGGCGGGCCTGGGGGAGATGATGGTCCAGCACGTACAGTCCGACTTCGAAGTGTTTGGGGTATGCGGCATCAAGGGGCTCAACCTCTTGAGGCAACGCTATCTGGAAGGAGAAGTCGAGACTTTCCGACAGTCAAAGCTGTGTGACAAGATGTTTCTTTGACGAAAGCTTTTCTCTGGTATAGGTGTGTCCTCGACACGCGTTTCAAGCGTTTGCAAAGAAAGGTACAAAAGTTCTTTGAGCCATTACAAAACAACCGAAATTCAAGGGCAGCTAAAGCTCACTCTAAATCTCTCTCAGGTGATCTTTCACTCTCTCCAACCACCCTCTTCGTCGTCGCCTCCAACACCAAAAGAGCCAGCTTTCTCGCTCAGTGCCGACCACCTGCCTAAAAAAACCTCAATGTAAGAACCAAAGAGACGCACAGACAACTTTCCTGACATGCTGCTCAGTCGCCATCCCACTTGATATCATGATTAACCATGACGATAGCATTGTATCTCTGTTTTCCAGAGACTATCGAATCGGAGCATTCAGCTACACTTCTCTCCATGCCAAAGGAATAAAGATATATGCCTCCTCCCCAGAGCATATATGTTCCCTTTCCTCCGACTTCAGCGGGCCATCCCATGCCAAGTTCTTCGTCAAAGTACTCTCCAACCTTTGTTGTAGTAAGGGCAGACCATGGCATACCAACGCATGCTGACAGAGCTAGCCTTTTGTGATTCGCCACAAAGGCCATTTTCCCACTCAGCTTCTGGGACACCTCATGCACGCTAAATGTGGTATTAGCAATACCAGCCAGTTTAATAGAGGAGCTTGATTCAGCAGCCTCTGTCGAGACAGTGGAGGCCTTGAACTCAGCTCTTCCTTCTAGAGCCCCAGATGCCCCTAGCCGCAAATAACCACCTTGCATTCGCATGCCTAGCAAGCGATCATTGCTTGTCGCAGTCGAGGATATACTCGTCACAGATTTATCATGAGTGTCATGAAACACCATTGTGTCCAACAGTGTTGCCGTAGCAGTAGAATCTCCGACACCAAACTCCATCAAAAGGTCGTCATGAAGGACACCAACTCGGTCGTCATTTGCGATACACCTCCCAGATGTCTCAAAGCTGCCTTTGAGTACAACGCTCATCTCCATTGCATCCCAACCATTCTCGATCTTAAAGCGGATCACCATGGACGCCGACAATGCAAGTCCCGAAACACCACTACCAC